CAAGGTTAACCACACCAAACTTGATTGCAGGAAATATGACTTCAGCAACAGAGTGGTCAATGTCTGGAATATGCTACCTGACTCTCTGGTTTCTTCCCCAAACCCCAAAAACTTTAACCTTAGACTGTCTACTATTGACCTCACCCCTTTCCTAAGAGGTCTGTAGGAGGCGTGCATAAGCGCACCAATGTGCCTACCATCCCTGTCCTATTGTTTCTTTGTTGTACCCATTTCATGAATTCATAACCATGTATATACTTATACCTATTATCTTGTAAGCGATTGACAAATCAAAATAAATAAATAAATAAAAATAAATGAAGAGAGATTAAAATAGTATAGCTTTTGCTGATACTAATGTCCAACTACCATTAGGCAACATGGGAAATTATCTACTCTAAAATTCCAGTTTGGAATATCTGCCCAACTCCAGAATTTCTGTAATGTCTGGAATATTCCATCACATCAAAGATTCTGCTTTTTGGAATCTTGGATTTGATGCTGTGCTTTAATTAAATCCTAATTATGAGATAAATAGTGGAATGATTTGCTACTAGGTTTCAGGAAATTGTGAAGCATTTTTGACAAATTATAAATTCAATTAAAAAGAACTTTCAGAACTTTCAGTATTACAGTGCATTCTTAGCTTCCATACTGATACTTTGGATATTCATCCAGTCAAAGATGTCTGGTTAATAACAGAATAACAGAATTGGAAGGGATATTGGAGGTCTTCTAAACAACCCCCTACTCAAGAAGGAAACCCTATAGTATTTCAGACAAATGGTTGTCCAATCTCTTCTTAAAATTTTCCAGTGTTGGAGCACCCACAGCATTTGGAGGCAAGTCATTGCACTGAATATACTTCAGCTTCAACCATAACAACACAAGAGCACACAATAGATACAAACTCTAGGTTGACCACACCAAATTTGATTGCAGGAAATACAACTTCAGCAACAGTGGTCAGTGTCTGGAATACTCTACCTGACTCTGTGGTTTCTTCCCCAAACCCCAAAAACTTTAACCTTAGACTGTCTACTATTGACCTCACCCCTTTCCTAAGAGGTCTGTAGGAGGCATGCATAAGCGCACCAACATGCCTACCGTCCCTGTCCTATTGTTTCTTTTATATATTTTTTTATTTTTCTTATATGTATCCATGTATTCATAACTATGTTTTTACTTATACCTATTATCTTGTAAGCAATTGAGAAACCAAATAAAATAAAAATAAATAATGTAATTGGTGCAAAATTGGTGCAAAAAACTGCAACAAGTAATATTACACTAACTGGTAATATTACACTAATAACTAGAGAATACAAAACATTTGCTAGACCAATACTCGAGTACAGCCCATCAGTTTCAAATCTGCATTACGTATCTGATATTAACACAGTTGAGAAAGTCCAGAAATATTTCACAAGAAGAGTTCTCCACTCCTCTACTCATTGCAGAATACCTTATGCCACCAGACTTGAAATTCTAGACCTAGAAAAGCTAGAACTACACCGCCTTCGGTCCGATCTAAGTATAGTATATAAAATTATACATTACATTGTCTACCTGTCAATGAATACTTCAGCTTCAACCATAACAATACAAGAGCACAAAATAGATACAAACTAAAGATAAACCACACCAAACTTGATTGCAGGAAATACAACTTGAGCAACAGAGTGATCAATGTCTGGAATACTCTACCTCAGTGATCCCCAACCTTTTAGACGCCGCGGCCCGGTACCGGCATCAGCTGGGCGCCGCGGCCTGGTACCGGCATCAGCTGGGCGCCGCCATCTTTTTTTGATGAAAAAGTGCTTCCGGTGAGCTTTCTACCCGGGAAAGCTCACCGGAAGCGCTGGCGCCGCCATCTTTTTTTGATGAAAACGTGCTTCCGGTGAGCTTTCTACCCGGGAAAGCTCACCGGAAGCACTTTTTCATGAAAAAAAAGATGGCGGCGCCCAGCAAGCCGCGGCCCGGTAGGAGTTGTTCCACGGACCGGGACCGCTGCTCTACCTGACTCTGTGGTTTCTTCCCCAAACCCCAAAAACTTTAACCTTAGACTTTCTACTATTGACTTCACCCCTTTCTAAGAGGTCTATAGGGGGCATGCATAAGCACACCAATGTGCCTACCATCCCCGTTTCTTTTATTTTTCTTATATGTATCCATGTATTCATAACTATGTTTTTACTTATACCTATTATCTTGTAAGCAATTGACAAACCAAATTAAAAATAAATAAATAAATAAATAAATTGTTCTAATGGTCAGGAAATTTGTCCTTAATTCTAGGTTGCTAATTCATCATGTACCTTTAGAAAAGGAAAACAGGAACTCAAGCTTTATTACTGCTCCTCAATTTTTATCAAATGTTCCTTCCTTCTACAAGAGGAAACTTTGGCTGCAGTGCTTCTTTGTTTACTGCAAAAGGGGTTCAATGGCAGTGTACTTAACAGCATGTGTGCTTTATAGAAATTTTAAAAAATACTTCTTTGCTTCATTATGAAAAAAGGAGCTGCTGCTTACTTACACTTTTCCTTAAAATATTGGAACTGTGTTTCATCACAATGCCAAGCAACACAGATATGCCTGTTTGTTATTATTTTTTATTTATTTATTTTATTTATTTATTATTTTTTATTTTTATTTGTCAATTGCTTACAAGATAATAGGTATAAGTAAAAACATATAAGAAAAATATAAAAATATAAGAAAAATATAAAATATAAGAAATATAAGAAAAATATAAAATATAAAATAAACAATATTATTATTCTAGGACTTTGTCTTCTTTTGAAAGAAACTATGTTCAAATTGAAAAAAAGGCCCCAGCTTTATTCCAGGAGTTTTAAAAAGTCCTCAGCTCTTTCCGTGGACATACTTTTGAAATTTATACTGACTTCAAATCTCTTTTGGGGCTCTTTTCTAATACAAATCCTATACCCTTAATATTTCTATGCATCATTACAGTCTCCTGGTTAATGCTAATGATTACTCACTCATCTATTGCCAGGAATAACAATAGCCAGAGGTTATTGTCTGACTCACCTGCTACATAAAATGCCAGATTTTAAACTGCCATCACTGCTGGAACTCTTAATGCTGAAGGCCCTCCCACACTACCATGTCAAGCTGATCAGATTGCAAGATTGCCTGCTTGAGATCGCAAAGTAACTCATGTGTTAAACTGGCTGTATAAGAGTTGGCCAGTTCACAGGCTACTAGAATTTAAACCATTCAAAACCATCAACTTGAGACATCTCACCATAAGTTTTTTTTTTTCCTAGCAGGGAAATTCTGTTACTGTAAGAAGCCATCAAACTGTCATACTTCCTGAAACATGAATGTTTTGGCAAGAAGTATGTTTGTTGGGTAGGGATTGATCAGGGCAGTGGAAAAAAATAGTATTCCTCCTCGGAAGTAATCAAAACACCTTGTGATGACTCCTTATTGATTTTGTGAGACTATTTCAGAAAAAGAACTAATGATGCTACACTCTTATTCAAAACTGCCTGCAACAATAATAGCAGTGCACCACTTATTTTGAAATCATAGATTGCCTTGTCTGATATTATCATCTTAGATAACATATGTGTATTTCAAAGTTTTATCAAAGTTTAAGCATTTTATGAACAATATGCTTTTCCAAACTTTTACAGTTCCCTTAATCCACCCAAATAATCTTCAACCCAATAGCTAGACTGTGGAGATGATGCAGATAATCTTGGATTAAATGAAGCAAATTATTGGAAGATACTAGGACAGCTTCCTTCTTGTATAACATACTACTCCTTGCTCAAAACATGAATCCGTTCTGGTGAATTACATATGGGCAATTAATATAAAATAGGCTTGACTTTTCATCCTTTGTAATATTTACAAACTAAGCAAGAATTGGAAATGTGCTTTATTTTCAAAACTGGTTGGAGTTGATGCCCTTGCACCAGAGTTAGTTGAACATTACTCCAAACATTGTTTTTGCCTTCAGGAGTTACCAAAGGAAATTTCCCTGAATCTTGTATAACTTACAAGTTGAACCCAGAAATCATTATTGAGAAAGATTCTTCTTGCTTGATGAAATTATCTTACTGTAACTAAAGATTAAAGATGTATTTGTTATGTATTAGTAATACTTTTTGGCATCCTGAAGCTCATGCAGTTCTTCAATGAACCATAGCTGCTGTTTTGTAAGTAGTCTGACCAGGTGTTTAAAAGAAGCAATCATGCATGGGAATGTTGCACTTCAATATTCACCCTTACTACTTGCATCCCAAGGTTCACAACTTGCCCATCCTTTAGGAATGCTTTTATTTGTCCAGTTTGAGGCGGATATCTGCTAGAAAGAGTCAAAATTGTTGTTTTCCATTTTGCCTCCAGCAGCTCTCTAGTATTGACAAGCAGTTGTTTCTGTGATCGAACTGTGTATTGGGGAAAAAGAATCCAAAAGTTTAATGTTTCAGTTTCAAAACATTTTAGTCTGTGATCTAAAAGCTGGCATGGTGCAAGTTTCTTCATTCATTTTCACCTTTTTGGTCATTTTCAGAGCCGGTTAGACAGCAGGTGGCAAAAACGAAACAAGCTACCAGGGGCAAGTCTCATGCAGTGTTTTTGAGTTGGCCTGACAGTGACATGCCTTGATGAAATTGCAGTTGGGCTTAGACTTAAATAGAGCAATAAAAAGAAAGATTGTATCTAGCTTTCAAGAACATTTGTGTAACAATTGTTTCTAAGAATACACAAGTGCATAGAAATGGTAGGTTGCCCTGGTTAAATCTGGATTGTAGAGAAATGTATTTTGATTCAAAGTATTTGTTTTGGCTTTTAATTCAAGTTAACTGGAATTAAATAAGTGTTAGTTAATAAAATGGTAGATTTTCTTTATTTTGTTAAAGGTATGACCTTATCTAAGAAACAGGCTTATTTTAGTTGTTACAATGAGTTGCTCTATATCATTTTCCTAAAAAACTAATTATATCCTTTCACTACCTCTGCAGTATCACTTCAATCCTTCCCAATCAGTCCTTGTTATAGAAGGAGATGACATTGAAAATATTAATCAAGCTCTCCAAAAAGTCTCCTATATCAACTCAAGACAGTTTCCAACTTCAGGTATTCGCCGCCTTAAAGTGTCATCCAAAGTCCAGTAAGTTAAATTCACTAAGCTTGATAATAGAAGCAATGCATCAATAAATTCTTGTTGAGGACTTTTTAATTTTGGGATAAATGAAAGAGTTTTATCAGCAACACTCATCTTTTAATATATTGGCCTGCAGCTTAATTGTTACAATGACTATGATTTCTACTATTCCTGCATGCCCATGGAGTTCTGGGATGTGTCGAAAATGGCCTCCTGATGCATTCAGTATAAAATGGGCAATGAGGTTCTCAATGCACATTTAACAAGATAGCTTTATCAAACCTGTTAAGTATCAGTTTGAGTTTGTAATTAAAAATACATACGCCATTTAATCAGATTTAACCATTGACTGTTTGTTATGTTATTCATGAGTTTTAAGTTGTATGGGTGCAGTGACCTTTGTAAAGATCATACCTGTCAATCCCATGCTGGGCTGTTCATGAATAATTTGAGAAACTGTATTTTAATTCTCATATGGAACTGAGTAATCCTGAAGCTGATCAGTGAGTAGGCATTAAAAACTTAAGTGTGCAGAGATCCCAATATCTTTGGATAAATATTCTGTTGCAACTGTGTGTTTTTTAAGAAAAGAGTGAAGCTTAATCTTCCATGAAGTTAAATGGTATATTTTTCAGATGTTTTGGTGAAGATACGTGCATTAGTATTCCAGACATAGATACCTATGTAATGGTGTTACAAGCCAAGGAGCCCAAGATTACAATAACTGGAATGGATCACTTTGCAAGACCTGCCACACAATTTGAACATGAAAGAGGGGTGATTCTTTTACCAGACATCAGAATTGTCAGCACGGTTTCTAAAATGGAACATCCCTCTGACCTGAAGGAAACTGTGACTAGAGGTTTGTTGGGTTTGTTTGTTTTTTAGGTTTATGATTTTCATGACTTAAGCAGAACTTAATACCAAATATAAATGAATAGAAACAGCCTCTGCTAAGATGTTTGTAATCTTGGAAGAAGATTGTTTAAGGCAAGGTAACATGTTCTATGCCTCTTAAATATTGTCCTTCAGTAAAGTGCATAATACATTGGAGAAGCAGCAGCTTATTTTATTTCAGCCTTCTCCTGCTTGGTACACTCCAGCCAACAAAGTGTACATCAGATAAGCACTGATTTAAGGGGGAAAAACAACTTTAAAAAAAACAACTATTCCTTTTTGCTCTGTCCTTTGTGAGCTCTGGAGAGTTAGCATTGACAGTGCTGTCTTGTGCAACATTTATAACTTACTATAATTAAAATGCCATGGTAAAAGTTTCCTGTACTTTCATCCCTTGGATAATAACAACCTGAGCAGAGCAACCTTGGTTGTTTAATTTGTTTATAATAATTATATTTACTTATATTTACATTTATTTATAATATTTACTGATTTTCATTTTAAAAATAGTGATTGGTTAAAATAAATACCAGAAATGGCAGTAAAATAGTAATAGTAAAAATAGTAAATATTGAAACCACAACTAATTAAAATCCACATTAAACTATAAAAATTGGAAAAGTCTGTAGGGAAGATAGCAGTTTATTATAACTTCTGCCTTGAAAAGTTGTTATATATGCACCATGATAAGGAACATCATAATGAACTAAGTGCAGCAGTCTCGGAATCACTTTCAAGAGAGGAGCTCTTCATATAATGTGTGATAGAGCAAAGTAAAATTAAGCAGTTATCAGTTAGATGCCAAATATAGATTTTAGAGTTAACTAGGTAACTCTTGTTATTGCCTAGTTATGTCTGCTGAACAGCTGAATTTCTTCCAATTGTATCAATTTGTTTTAATTAAATAGGTGGCTCAGGGACAGATAGAAAACAGAAAAGGAAGCTAAACAATGTCAGTAAGCTTTTTGGTGTATCACACTAGTGAAAGAAAGTTTATGTGAACCAATTTCTCCGAGTGTATTAGATCTAGAAGCAATAGTTGTTGCCAAAGCTGCACCCCCAATAATTTCATTTATTGTAAACACTATGACCTAATTATTATTGGTGGCAAAGTGATAAAACCTAAAGATTTTCTTTGTTTGCAACAAAAGGATGGGCACATAAATATAGTGAATAATTTAACCTTATTCAATTCCATGTTAAGAGAGGGGGGGAGAAAGGAAGGGAGGGAGAGGGGTGGGTGGGGGGGTCATCTGTCTGAAGTGATAGAAATTGATATCCTTGGCCTTTATTGTGAAAGATAATTCATTTAATTGATGACATGCAAAAGACATTTTAGTTGGATTCATGCATCTCAGCCATGCTCAACAAAATTGCATTTTGATTTAGAATGATGTACAAAAAGTCATTTTTCCATGAATACATTTTATGACCAGTTGGTGAATTAGTGTTGGAAAATCTTTGGGATTATTGGATTTTTTTCAGCATTATTATTTTAAAACTTTGAGGAAGCTGAAATCTTTAATGACACACAGTTTTGTTTTTCTAAACTTTTTATTCTTAGTTGCCTAAACAGTGTTCCTTGTAGTGCTCAGGAATAATTCATTATACCCACTTATGCACAACCTTCTGCTCTGTATTACAAATAAACACATCACTTAATAATGGTGCTCAGCTTCTCTATGTTATGTTATTAACTATAATAAGAAATTTTAAAGCATTTTGCATACACATACACATTTCTTTCATAACAGTCATTACTGAATGATGGCATTTTTTATCAATATGGTATTTTCCCTGAGAACGAGTTTTCAGCATGATCAATTTTCATTAACATGGAAAGCCATGTTTAAGCTTTACTTCCTAACACCTGCAAATATGTAAATAATACTGTCATAGGGATCAATACCAAGCTGATCAAGGGTTATTTCTTTGGGAATATGAAAACAATTACAGCTGAAATACAGTGATGGTTCATGTACAGTACTTGGTTTATATAAAGACGCTCTGCATATTTGGTAAACATTTTTTATTCCAAATAGAGGTAGCTGAAAAGCTCTTCTGTATAGTTTCATCATTTGTAGTGATAATATTCTTCAAAATTCAAAACTCATATTCCATATGTAGATTAGCAGAAACACTGGCAGATCATATTTACAATGGATATGCAGGAACAGTATTCAGTTCATTGTAAACTATTAAATAAGACCAGAGTATACAAAGTATTGTGGAAAAAGTTTTTAGATAATCTGTGAATAAAACTGTGAATTTAATAATTCTAGAAATACATATGTTGCCACAGCAACTCCCCCATCTTCATCATCTCTTCCTTCCTTCCTTCCTTAGAGATAAAATTAAAGTTTTTTTATTAGATCCAAATTTGTCCAGAAAATACAAACCATTCTTAATGATTTGATTGTGTTCATACAAGTTAAAAGTGATACAAGACCTCTTTGTGTTTTTTTAATGTCCTAAAATAGTAATATTGAGAAAGATAAATGTGGTACCAAATTACATTCCTAAATTATATTAATTTATGAAGGTTTTTGTTGCTAACTGGAGTTTGGCAAAGAGGAGAAGCTGACATACTGTATATGGACATAAATATATCCTCTTGACATTAAGGAATGGATTAAAGATATGAGTCATCCATTTTTGAAAAATCTTCATTTTCTAAAAATGACAAGATGAACCAAAGCACTTATTCATTATCTATATTTAATGGCAAGCTAAAGGATGGAAATAGTACTAAATGGATATTTTGTGGATATTTTGATTAGTTCTTTTTCTCCATTTATTTAGTTTATTTAGTTAATTATTTAGACATTTAGTTCATTTAAATATTTAGCTCATTTTAATTGCTAAAATGAATGTAGGATTTTTTTAAAAAAATAATGTATAACTACCATATCTTTTGCTGGTAATAGTGATTGATGTTGTAATTATTTCCCTTTCAGTGGGGATGTGGATGTGTATCTCTGTTTATCTATCTAAATACACATCTCAGAAGGATTTGTGACTACTGAGTTAATATTAATACACATTCACTAAAAATTAGCATAATCATCATTATGTCATTCTGTTTTGCCTCAGAAGGTGACATGACAGTACTAATCAATCTTGGTTCATCTGCAAAGTTAAGCAGGCAGGGTGAGCTCCAGTTAGTACTTGTCTAGGACATCTGAGATTTTGAGGGAATTGGCAACCCAAACAGAACACTTTGAAAAAGACTACAAGACTTTTTCAAAAAAAAAAAAAAAAAAAGTACAAGACTTCTGTAATATTGCCAAGTAAAGCACCTGGATGCTGTCACCCAGAATCAAGTCTCTTTCTAAATTAACAATTCAATTCTGTACTTTTGAAAGGCAGTTTTGCATATATTATTTTTGTTCTTTTCAGTCATGGACTGAAAATTGTACACTATTTAAGGTCAACTGAGTATAGTGCCCTGTAAATAAATTATACTTTGAAAAGGAACATTTTTTTAATATGTTATTTGACATTTTATTATTATTATTGACAGCCCACAAGCCAGTTCTGTTAGAAAAAGTGGATCACAATCTGGATTTTTGTGATATTTTAGTAATTGGATCAGAATTGGATCCCAAGCAAGAGTGTTTGGAATTGGACAAGAAAGACCTCCAAGGGAAACATATAGAAGCTACTAACTCTACAGCAGGATATTCAATATATGGTTTGAGTATTATTTTTTTTCATTTCTGTATCTTATCCTAATCTAATACTCAATAAGTTTATCTTAAATTAATATGGCTATGCTGTACCTAGCTTTTTTAAAAAAAATAATAAAATGCATCAGCATGGCAGAAGTTAGAAAGCAGTTTGCTATGAGGAATTCCAGATCCATTGACTGTTTACCCTATTAAACAAGATGATTCATCCTAATCTTTATCTGAGTGGATATTATTGATTACAGAAAATAGATCAAAGAACATGTACTACATTGAACTACATTTCCTAGCATCCATTACCATAGACCATGCTGGTTGAACCACTAGGAAGTGCAGTTCAACACTATCTGAAGAACCATGTTCACATCTTTTTATTATAATAAAGCAGAATATCTCTAGATTATTGAGATACACAGAATTTGTAGTCTTCATATCATTTGCAAATTATTGTGAAACTGCCTGAAGAAACAGTAGCATGGCATTAAGGGTAGTAATAATATGTATTTACTTCTGATAACGTTTTCATAATTGTTTTTTTTTTCTCTTTTTCCTGACATTTAATGTGTTTTACTGGTTCAGGTGTGGACACTATGAAAAACTATGAAAAGGTTTTACAGCAAATTCGCTATCGTAATTGGCACACATCTTCCTTTTCTGATAGAAAGTTTAGAATCAAATGTTCAGAACTCAATGGGCGCTATACCAGCAATGAATTCAATTTAGAAGTAAGTAGCATTAAAAAAAACAATTACAATTTATTTTTATATTAGAAAATAAAAGGCACAGAAGCAGTGTTTGGTATCTATTAATATAATTTTCAGATAATTTAGTGAACATGTAGTTATTTCTCAATATGTTATTAGGTACCAATGCAGACATAAACACAAGAAATAAATTAAGATACTATAATAGAGTGTGGGAATGATTTCAGGAAAAGGATGGAAGAGATATTGGCTATGAAACAATCAGGCAAATGAGTCAGAACCCTCAGTAACTTAACATCAGGGTGTTCTGATATTGCTCACATAAGCATACATCACAAATGAGGTCAAAGTTTTATTTGATGTTTTCCACACCAAATAATTTTCCTCAGAAATTCCCAACAACCACACAATCCCCCAACAGTTCACAGTTCAGTCCAGGAACAAGCCCAACATAAATTTGCAAGGCAGGACATGTCCACAAGGTTAAGGCAGGTCTGTGAGGCAAAAACTAGTCCATGAGACAGGCAAAATCTGTGAAGCAAGTCCAGAGGTCAAGGCATGATCCAGGGTCCAAGGTACACAGTCGAGTCAGGAAACAAGGTTCAAGGCAAGAGGCATGGAAGTTGATAAATACAAGCCAAGGAAATGGACACATTCCCAGCGTTGTTTCATTCCACTTCCTGAGCTAAATAGCCACTTCTCAGCACATCCATCAAAAGGGGCAAAGCTCCTGCCTCGCAAGTAGCCTGGCTGACCTTTGTTGTACTTGCTTTCTCTCAACCCTACTCACTCTTGGATCAGGAGGAAGAGGCTATTCTTCCACATCTCTGCTGATCAGCTGTAGTTGCATGCCTTCTATCTGTACTTCTGAAACCTCTGGGTTTCCCAGCTGTAGCTGTGTCTTTCATGTCCATAGCTCAGAAAGCCATTCATCCAGTCACTACTTTTGAGATGACTCTGTGGTGCTTGACCTCATCACTTCAGACTCAGAGCATCTGGCAATCTCTAGATGTTCCTCTACATCTCGCTTCGAGAGTCCTGGAACTGGCTATTCTGCATCTGGAAAGGCATCTGGGCACTTTTCCAGGGAAGCCATCACATGGTACCATCACACAGAGAAAGAAACTCAGAAAGGACTGCCTTAATGGATCAGGCAATTAAAAATGGTGGCTGGAAGTTTTGTGCTTTCAGATTTGCAGGATCCTATAAATATATTGTTGCAATAAAGTAGATATATTCCATCTACTCACATTTCCAATCTGGTTTACCTACGAAGGCTGACAGATACTTTCTCAAAGTCATTTTATTAATAATTTTTCACTAGTACATTTTTAAACCAGAGATTAAAATGAGATTATTCTTTATTTATAAAGAACAAATTTTCCCTGCCCCTTGTTGTTTCTTTTAAACCGATATAATCAGCATTCTTGAGGGCTTGCTTCTCGTATGTGTGAAATATAGAACTCTGTGCAGTAGACACATTTTTAAATGAATACTTTGGGATAGGATTAAAAATAGTGCAGAAATACTTGCTATGACATCATGTGCTTGTCCCAGATGATTAGAGCTCTGATTTATGCTGAGCACCACATACTACATTAGGTTTCACCTAAGAACAGCTAGTAGGTAATCTGGACAACATAAATGTCAATTGTTTGTCATGATCAGATCTCTATGGAGTTTTCAGCAACTACTGACTTCTATTGCATTATCCATTACTGCCACAAGCTCCTTATATATT